ATGTCATCAACTCCGCGTGGGACAATACTCCATACCAATATATTATGATTTATGAATATTGAATACTATAGTACCTTTCGCAGGTTTAAAGTCTATAAAAATAAGTCTATAAGTCTTAAAACACTTGTCTACGTGTATGCTATTGTAACTCACAGCACGCACTCTCCTATACCTAGGTAATCCTAGACAATATTGGCGTAAGTTCAGTGATTATATTACTAAATAAATATATCGAAGTAGTTATATACCGCAGGACGTCCGACGTCCGTCGTATTATATTATTGTTATTAATATTTAATACTATAGTATGGTATTTATAGTCAATGGTATTATGCATTTAAGCGTGTATAATATAATATATTATTATAATGGGCGCGCGGTTGGTGTCTGTATGGCACTCGTACTCTACTCGAGCAAATTCATATTTTATATTCAGTCAGCGTGCTATAAATTAATGTATTCCTATTTTCTATATTTGTGGTTATACACCTATATTGTATTGATATATATATAATAACGCGGTATGTACAGCTTAAATTTATAACAAATTTCGAATAAGATTAAATGTTGAGTTCGAGTGAAAATCAAAGTTTAACCCATCCGTATACGGAAGTCATCATCTCCGCGTGTGACACTGTGAAGATACATCGATACCAATATATTATTATGTATATTGTAGCACCTATTGCAGATTAAAAGTCTTAAAACACTTGTCTACATATATAATATATTATTCTCAGCTAAAGTGATGTAAAATTACGGTTATTACTTATTATCTTTTAAATAATATCAGGAAATTTTCTTTTTCTTCAATAAATCATTGATCGGTGGTAAAATAGTAAATACTAAATAGTATATCTAGTACAGTAATTCCAGTGTATTTACGTCTGTACGACTGTATAATCTGATACCAGTAGTACCTACTGACCTTAACATAATCGTATCACTATGATACTGTAAATTAATTAATATAATTATAATAAAAAAAAAATTACCGGTAATAATATTATGATATTATGATTTGTAAAAGATTATTCTCGTAATCTGCACATCACTACTCATAGCATACAATCTCCTAAAGCATGCTCGAAATCATTGGTGAAGACGTCAGTATAAATTCATCATTATTATAATCTCGAAGTATTACAAGTCATATCATCATCGATTAATGATTATAGATTAAAAAACCTAGGATATATTTACCGGGGGTAAAATAAATCTAGGATATTTTATACCCCCGGTAAAAATATACTAGATAGGTAAAAACATTTGAGGGTATTAGAAACCTGCGACACCGGGACATTCAGCTAGATACGTATATATAGGGTTCTAAATTTGAAATATTTCAAAATTGAAAATTTCACTCTTCTTGAAATATTTCAATGAAATTATGAAAAATATTTTTTCTTCTTTTAAACTTGTTCGGTTATAGATGATAAGAAATAATATGTTGATTACACACTTAGAAATAAAGAAAAACTTATTATTTTCTTTGATTTATTATTTCATATTTGTATATTCTATATTATGTAGTTATGAAAAATATCCCTGCCATTATTTTGAGAGCAAAAACATTTTTTATATGAGTTTTAAAATATTGTTGTATTCAGACTGTCAGCGATCCAAAAGTTAATGGTTTGAAATAAAGTTGAAGTCAATATTAAAAGTGAATGAAATAATAGTGTATTTTCAATAATTATAAAGTGTACAAAAGTCGTATATGTGGGTGTGTATATTACTGAATGATGTGAAGGTGCTCTGGACTCTTTTATTTAATACTTAGATCATATTTTGTATATTGTAAAAGGTCACGTCTCAAGACTTTTAATAGTAGCTTATGTCTATACATTGTGATTTGTGAATATAATATTATAATATAATTATAATATAGTAAAATATAAGACGCATTCGAAAATCCAGAGCTCTCAACAATATGTTAATATGTTGAGTTTGTTTATGAGGTTGTAACTTAAGAGTTAAAAGACAATTTTTAAATTTGTTATATTATTTATTTTATTTATTTATTTATTTTAATTTTAATACGGGCCGCAGCCCAAAAGTACAAAAAATAAATTTACATATTATAAGTGAATTCAATGTGTAGTAGACATAATAATTAATATAGAGAAAGGAAAGAATACAAAAGAAAAGAATTACAGAACTTAACTTAAAAACTAAAAGACGGATCCTCATTAGCAATACGCATCATCCTATTTAGTGGTTTGTTTCGTGAATAATTTGTCGTACACAGTGGTATACTGAAAGGATAGGAAGAACGGACCTGGACACAGGGAATTTTAAAGTTTACTTTAGATAGAAGTTCAGGACAGTCGATCGACCCATTGATGAGCTTGACTAGGAAGACTTTGTTAATGGTGATACGTCTATCGGGCAAAGACTGTAAGCCTAGCCTATCTATTACTGGATCATAATCATGAGGTCTATGTTCGATATTTAATAGATATGCTGCAAAGCTCAAAAACTTCCGTTGGACTCTCTCAAGTTGATTCATATTGCTTGTGTTGTGAGGGTTCCATATAATTACAGAAAATTCAAGAATTGATCTGATGATCGCACAATATAAGGCTTTTAGTGGAGTTATCAACTTAAATTCGTTAACCCGCTTAAGGAATCCAAGAGCTTTTAAGCTTTACAGCATGTCGCATCTATATGGTGATGGAAATTCAAGTTACTATCATAGAAAACTCCGAGGTCTTTCACAGTATTCAGTTCAATAGCAAGATAGGTTCCACGAAGTAAATAATTGAACTCCAAGTGAGTCCGAAATCTATAAAAAGATTTTGAGCAACATTTGGAGACATTAAAATCCAAACCAATATTTACAGCCCAGGCATCCAGTGCATACAAGTCATTTTGAAGTAATTGACAGTCATGTACTGAGCGAATTTCTAGAAATAGCTTTAAGTCATCAGCAAATAGTAAGAATTTACTGTGGTGAATAACTTTCTTTATGTCATTAATAAACAATATAAAAAGTAACGGGGAAAGATGGCCACCCTGAGGTACCCCTGACGGCGTGTTTAATACCTGTGATTTTATACCAAATATTTTTATGAATTGTTTGCGACCGGATAGATAAGAGCTGAACCATGATAACAAAGGCTCCCCAAAACCACTACTGGCAAGGACTTTCATAAGAACAGCATGGTTAACCCTATCAAAGGCTTTACTGAAGTCGGTGTAAATGACGTCAACCCGATTTTTTTTTGCAAAGGAATCAAACACATAATCAGTGAACACTAGATTGCATGTGTTAACTGACCGATTAGGGCGAAACCCATGTTGCTCATCTATTTTGATTTGATTTACCGCAGATTGGATAGAACTTAAGACTAATGATTCAAACAGTTTACCTATGTGACTGATGATAGTTATTGGCCTCTAGTTATCTACATTAGAAATATCACCAGATTTAAATATCGGCGTTATGGAACTAAGTTTGAGTATTTCAGGGTAGGATCCGGAATCAAGTGATTTTCGAAATAGAAGCCATAAAGGGAAACATATAGACGATCTGATTGAGAATAAGAAATCACCTGAGATACCATCCGGGCCAATAGAATTATTTCCTTTCAGGCGTGATAGACCTTTTTCAACATCTGATATATCAAAGAAACAGTTGCTCGGAAGATCGTGAATGAGGGATTGGGATAATTCAGTTTTATAGTTGACGTTTGCCCTAGAATATACAGAATTAAAATGTTTTGAGAAAAAGTCCACTGCCTCATTATTATTTTTACTAATTATACCATTGAGCGTGACTGTTCTGGGAATAGACTGACCTGTTTTATTCTTTCTAACAAAATCCCAAAATTTAGATGGATTGGCACAAAAAGTTTCTTCGGTAGAGCTGATAAATTTTTTGTAACATTGTTTACTCAAGTATTTATATTTAGCCCGAAGAAAACTGAAATTTTTATAATCATCTGGCTTGTCAGTGCTCTTAAAGATTGCGTGAGCTTTCCTTTTTTTAAATACTAAATTGATTAGTTCTTTAGAAAACCATGAAGGAAAATTAGATCGAGAAAATTTTACGTTCGGGACATGTCGCAGAATGGATAAATCTATCGCATCAAAAAGTGCATAAGCAGCAGAAGTAACATCTAAATTAGAAAAAGTTTCTAACCAATTAAAAGATAACAAAATTTTATTTATAAGAGGATAATTTGCTTTACGGAAATTGAAGTAGCAATGAGAAGAATCAATTTGTGGTATATTGGTGACCGGAATAAAGTCTATGGACAACGCAGGGTGATAGCGGTCTTCTGGTACCACTGGGACCAATGCAGCTTTTACCTTATACTGATTAAGATTTACAAAGATAAGATCTAATAGTGACCCTGATTTATTAAAAACGTCGTTGATTTGAAAGAAGTTATTCGCTGCAAAAGTCTCCGGAAGACAATTAATAAGATAGCCAGAGGTAGAGGAATAAATCAGACCATGGTTGTCATTTGACCAAGAAACATTTGGAAGATTAAAATCACCACAGAAGATAAACAAATGGTCAGAATAAATGGAAAGTAGATTTTCAACAGTAGACATAAAGGTCTCATAAGATTGAAGAGGAGAGTTTGGAGGTAGGTAAGCACTGCTAACTATATACTTTTTACCACTTAGAGTGAAGTTCACAAACAAAACCTCAATATCCAAACAAGTAACAGGTATTAGATATGAAGGGAGATCAATACAAATGCCAACAAGAACCCCTCCGCCCCTAGAACAGGCACTAGTGGTGTTATTTCGGTCACATCTAAAAATATTATAATTAAACAAATTTAGTTCACCATCAGCTATATCATTATTAAGCCACGTTTCAGTTAAAGTAATGAACGGATAATTAAAACAAGAAGTGTTACATTTAAAATTAAATAACTTAGTCCTAAGTCCTCTGCAGTTTTGATAAAAACCAAGATAATTATTTACACACAAACAAGTATTATCTACAATTTTATTTTTGTTACCGCCGCGGCCATCAATTAGTTTTTTGTATTTTCCGTTGTTGATTGCCTAGGATTAGTTCGCACCAGTTTTGGAGAACCATAAGAGTTTCTTATAACCCAGCCATGGTCACCACTGTCATAAAGACTCTTAAGTTCAGATCGGAGACCAGACAGCTGCTTCCGTTGCATGAGAGTAAGATCTTCGTGAATCCATACATTTTTCCAACGCTCAAGATTCCGTTGTTTCCGTTTAGACTTAAGGACCATATGGACATCTGTTGGGGAGTTGAGCTGAACAACAATAGGACGAGTACGGGATCCCACTGGGCCAATTCGTTTAACTGAGGTAGATTGGCATTGGATTGTCAAGTCCTGGAAGAGGTGATCAACCAGGACATTTAAAGTTTCAGAATTTTTATTAGCCGAAAGGGGAACGTTTGCGCGCCACACCGAAATGTCGTTATCGCGCCGCCGTCGACATACGGAGATAAAAATCCTAGTGTAATCTCTTTCTTTTTTTCCAATATCGTGTTCCACTATCGTTGTTATTATTTTATTCATTAACCTATATTACGACCACCTGTTAATGAAAATAATCAAGAGCCTACAAATGCCATAGTTTTGGTGGCAAGTATTACTGTTGCGGAGCCACTGTTGTTCATGCATTAATTCGATATCTACGTCGGTGTTAAGATAACATTTAAATAATTACCGCGTGAATTTAAATATTATAATCATTATTATTAATACAAGTAAATAATAAAATTGAGTATTGTAATTTTTATATCCTAAATCTAAATTATTATACTTATAACAAAAAATGTAAGAATGATAATTCTAACATGTCCTACGAAAAAAAAAAAAAAATTTTAAAGTGTATAATTTTTTTAAAATATTGTCAAACGAACCCCGAATTTGCGAAATATTTTTCCCTGCCTCAATCAGTTACTGCGGAAGCATGCGGAGTCAGTCTTAGTACGGTAAAAAGAATAGCGTGTGAAGGTAACAAATCGATCGCGAATGCAGAACCAGAGGCCGGCCCTTCAAATCCTTAATTTACTTCTCCACGTAAACAATATAAGCGAGTTAAATATGCAACGAACATTGACGAATTTGATGCGGATATTGTTCGGAGATCTATCCATGATTTTGTAGGACGTGTTAGAATTTTCATTATTAATTTTTTTTTTTTTTTGTTATAATTATAATAATTTAGATTTAGGATATAAAAATAACAATACTCAATTTTATTATTTACTTATATTAATAATAATGATTATAATATTTAAATTCACGCGGTAATTATTTGAATGTTATCTTATCACCGACGTATATATCGAATAAATACATGAACAACAGTGGCTCCGCAACAGTAATACTTACCACCGGATCTATGGCATTTGTAGGCTCGTAAAATAATCTAAGTCAAATTTCTGACTGTGTGAATAACTATTGGTCATCTTTTGCCTCATATTATTATCATTTATTCGTATCACTATTATGTTGAGATTTATATTGTTTACCTTTTGCGGACAACGCCCTTGTTGTTATAAATTATTATTGCTGTTACCATATATTATATATCGTTTTTCGTTTCCGCTATTGCAGCGCATATCTTTTTTCTTTGGTTTAGTACCTTGCACTTTTGGTGCACACACAAAGTTATTTGGTTCTTAATATTATTGTAAAACCTGTACCATGTGGTCCATGTAACCAGACATTTATTATTATTATATTGTATTGTCATGGTGACAAGAACTCAAGTCGTTAATGAAACGACAACATTATTATTATTATTATTGAAATAAATAATCTTCATTACGAACAATAAACCGTGTGTTTTTGTATTATATTATTAACATTCTGTGTGCAAGGTGCCCCTGCCGTGTGTTCGTGTCCGCGTAAGTCCGCCAGCAACGGGTACGTTTGTGTGGGAGGCCGTCTAGGACATCGAGACCAGCGTCGCCCTCGAACTACCGTCACCTAAAGAATCCAGCTGTATATTATATGTAGATATACCTAATAATTACCTAGTGCCTTAAGTAACTATTATAATTGAACCCTGTAGTCATTGCACCAAACCGGATCGACTACAGGACCCCCGATACCCATAACTAACTTGCATTGTCCTGAAATCCTGCATGTACGTCACCTCCCATCCTCGCCATAGTGCCCGAGAAGACGTGTATAAATCAGTCGGTCAGGCGTGTGTGTATAGTTG